CCCCCCCCCAGCATTTACCACGGGAGAGAAGCAGGTGAGAAGAACAAGTTCTCCCTCGAGGGTGGCGTGGGGACCGGGCGAGCAACCGTGTAAAGCCCAGTGCCCGGCACACTCATGAATGTTCGATAAAAAGGGGGTTCTAATATAAGAATATGGTTACTGTACGCTGTCTCGGGGCTTTCTCGAAATGCAACTGTGAAAAACTTCAATCCACAGATAACTGAGGAAGTGAAGAGAGATGCTTTCTTTCAAGTTAATCGCTATGGGGAAACGAGCTTTCTGTTAAACTAGGAACCTGGAGGTTGAAGTGCCGCTGGAAACGCTGTCTGGCCATTCTTCCTAATTATGTTTCTCTGAACGAGAATATAAGGAAACAGTCTCTGAGATCTGTTTAAGAACTAAGAGAGCTCAGTGTCTGTGAATACTCCTTCACTGGAAAAGCACTGTGATTTGGGTAGATTGTTCTAGAAGAGAGAGGTAAGGCCAAGTGGGGAAGGGCAGTGAGGTGGATGGAGCTGAGGCCTGAGCAGGACTCTGCCTCCCAGGGGCAGTGTCACCTCCTCTCTTGGGGGCCAACATTTGCCTGGTCTACTTCTGACTAAATTGGGAACTTAGCTAATAATAATCTGTGTGTATATCTATTTTTCAATCAGTGAAAAAATTTCCAGGTCACTAGTGTAAGGACAGGAAGAAGAAGAAAAAAAAGCAAAGGCCTTAGAGTTACACTGCCCTTACTAATTCACCATGTGATCTTACACAAGACTTTGATATCTCTGAGCCTCACCTTCCTCATCTGTTAAATGGGGACAATATGCTATTTAAAGACATCTACAGTGTACAAAAGGTCTGCTGCAGTGCCTGGCACACAGCAGGTGAAAATATAGACGTTGAGTTTAGCAGCACCCCTAGTTTTATAGAAAATGCACAGTTGGCTTAAAAAAACCAACAGGCCAATTGGTCACCTGAGTCAAGATCGGACCTGTGGCGTGTTCCCCTGGGGTCAGTTGCAATTCCAGGGCAGATGAATGTGAATACTGTGACACTGGGGGAAAGAGGAATGTGTCTGTTGTCAGGGGAGCTGAGTTCGCCCTTCTTTCTACAATCTCTCAACAGGTCCTTCCTCTCTCAGTTCCCTCACGTGCGAAGTAGAAGAAACAAGAACTCCCAGCCACCTTACGGGGCAGAGGTGGGGCACCAATGAGATGGCAAATGTAATAATTTCATTTAAGACTAATGGGTTATCATAGCAGGGAAGCATTTTAAAAAGGCAAAAGCTATGTTTGAAGGAAAGATGTGTTAGGGCCTGTGAAGGACAGTCCAGGAGGGGGTGGGGCCTTGCCTTCTTGCTCCTTTTTGGCTTTCTCCTGGGCCTTCATGGCTGTGTAATCCTGGGCCATGTTGAGAACGTAGATGTGCTCCCGGTTGCCAATGGCCTTCAGCAGGCAGAGGAGAGCAAAAGCCGCATTCCGAGCAAAGAGTGTCTCGAGGCTATCAAACACCACTCCTTGGTAGCAGTCACTCAGCTGAAACCAGGAGAGCAAAGACAGTTACCGTGGCCACAGGACCCTCTGTTCTCTATAAAGCGGTGTGTTCTTCTGTCGGTGCTTTTACTGGTGCTGCAATTGGTTCTGCAGACCTACTGAGCCCTGGCAGGGGGAAAATACCATTCAGCCACCTGCTAAATTCAAGGCGCTGCTATAAAAAAAAGGAGAAAAATATAAATATTGGATCAGCCATGGAAGATCTCTGTCATACATATTTATAGAGTAAAGGCCTTATTCTGTCGCTACAGAAATAAAGAGAATGAAATGTTAAAGTGAGGGTCTGAGGAGATCTAGGAGATCCGGGGAAGGAAGGTACAAAGTAAAGATGTCCTCACGCACAGAGTAATAGGCAGCAAGGACGGAGGTAGCGGAGGAGCCATTCTTAATGGTGTTACTGCCTTGGAGTGTAATGATTTTGATAATATTAACCACTCAAGAACAGTCTCTGCACTGCAGGGTTACTGAAAGTGTACTGCATAGACTGCCGCCACTGGCCGGGACTGATTTCTACCAGTGTTTGGTGAGGCAAGGCTCTCGGGTCAGACTGTAAATCAACTACGTCACTAAGTACACTACTTAGTTCAGTTCTGCCATTTTTTTTTCTTTGTAGCAAGACCTTGTCAATGAAGGAAGCTGTGCAAGCTCCATATCTCAACAAAGACCAGTACTCTGAGTAGCACAGCTCTCCTGCCTTCCTTTGGGCCTTTCCAGAGATTCTCAGCCTTTAATCTGGATTCACAAAATGCCTGCACGCTTATTTGACCACCTTGCTCAAGTCAGTTGAGAGTGACGGTAGCTTTAACGCAGTAGCAGCCCAAACTTCACATACATCATTTCTGGGGATGACATTCCTCCTCTTCTGGGAACCTCAGGTCTAACTTTATTATATTTAAATGTGCAATTAATAGTGTGGCCCAGCTTGCAAAACCAAAGCAAACACACAGCTGTGGGACCTGTTGAGCAACTTTGCTCTCTGTAAACCATAAGCAGCAGACAGGCTCAAGTGGTGCCCTCCCAGACCCCGCTGATCTTCTTTTCTTTAACTGTATAGCACTTGTAAAAATTTTAAAAATGGAAACAGTTATCGTGTTTCTGACTTTAAAAGCAATATGCCATTGTAAAATAATTCAGAAATGAAGACTAAAACTCTATAACCATCCAAAGATAACCATAGTTAACATGTATTTTGAATTTTTACTATGTGTATAATATACATTTATATATTTTTTATAGAAATGTAGTTGTGTTTTACATGCTATTTAATAATCTGCTTTTCTTTTTTAATTTGTTAATTACAGTTGGCATTCAATATTATTTTATATTAGTTTCAGGTGTACAGCATAGTGGTTATACATTTATATAATTTACAAAGTGATACCCCCAAAAGTCTAGTACCCACCTGGCACCATACAGAATTATTACAATATTATTGACCATACTCCTTATGCTGTACTTGACATCCCTGTGACTATTCTGTAACTACCAATTTGTACTTCTTTTTTAAAAAATACATCTTTATTGATTTCAGAGAGAGGAAGGAAGAAGGAGAGAGAGAGAGAGAGAGAGAGAGAGAGAAACATCAATGATGAGAGCCATTGATTGGCTGCCTCCTGCATGCCCCCTGCTGGGGATCCAGCCTACAACCCAGACATGTGCCCTGACTGGGAATCAAACCACAATTTCCTGGATCATATCGATGCTCAACCGCTGAGCCATGCTGGCCAGGCCCAATTTGTACTTCTTAATACTTTCACTGTTTTCACTCAGTCCCCCAAGTCCCCCTCCCACCTGACGACCATCAGTTTGTTCTCTGCATCTATGAGTCTGTTTCTGTTTTATTTTATTCTTTAGATTCCACATATAGTGAAGTTATACGGAACGTAACCTGCTTTGCTCACTTAATAACATATTAAAAACATATTTTTACAGCAATTAACATGTCTCCAAATCCTGTCTCTTTTTTTAAATCCTCACTTGAGGATATTTTTTTCCGTTGCTTTACAGAGAGAGTGGAAGGAAGGGAGAGGGAGGGACAGAGAGAGAGACATCAATGTGAGAGAGAAACATTGATTGGTTGCCTCCCACACACGCCCGGGCTGGGGTGAGCCTGCAACCAAGGTACATACCCTTGGCTGGAATCATACCCGGGACTCTTCAGTCCACGGGCCTATGTTCAAACCACTGAGCCAAACCAGCTAGGGCCAAATTCTAACACTTAACGGCTCCACCTTATAATTTTAAAAAACACCACTGTAGGGCTGTGCCATGACTCCTTTTTTGTTTTTTAATGTGTAACCTTCTGATCACTGGTCCTTTAAGGTGAGTGGCTTCAGGCAGTAGGCTGAGTTAGTGTCAGGGACTGACAAGGGCTGTCAAAAGAACAATTAACTGACTGGTGAGGGTGAGAAAACCCATCTTTCTTCCTCTCCAAGATCCTGGAGTTCTCAGCTGCTGTGGGTGGGTGATGGCTCAGAGTCTCGCCACAGCAAGGGGAAGGTGTGTGGGCCCTGCAGCTCCGTGCAGGAGTGTGGACGCACCTGTATGCGGTCGGCCAGGATCTGAACAAGTATTTCCTCGGGGAGCACACAGCTCAGGAGCCCCGTCTCACCCCCGATGCTGGTGCTGACACTGAGCCTGCGTGGTGTAGGCCCCGAGGGCAGAGGACTGGAGGAAATCTGTTGAGTGAGAGAAGGATCAGGAGTTAGAATCCAGCTTGATGTCCCAACGACTCCTACACATACAAGCCATGTGACCTCAGGAAAATCATACAATGTGCCTGGGCCTCATTTCCTCATCCGTAAAACGGGGACTGCAGTGTAAAATGGAATATTCTTACCTTCCTCAAAGAATTGCTATAGGTGTCAAGCAGGAACACTGTGGAAGGTGCTTTGTGTATGTACCGAACAGCATCCATTTGTTCATTCATTGAACAAAGACTCATTGAGCACCTACTATGCACCAGGGTCCCCTCTAGTACCAGGGACACAACAACCAAAAGTCTGGCAACATTGCTGCCAGTCTGGTCCTTACACTCAAGTGGGGGAGACAGAAAGGGACAGATGAACAAGCACATCAATAATATAATTTCAGACAGTAATGAGTGCCAGGGAGAAAATGATGAGGTAAGGGAATAAAGGGAGACGTGAAAGAACAAGACAAGATCCTGAGAGGAGAGTCTTTCTGAGAGGGAAGAGCAAGTTCCCTCAACACAAGTGCACTTGTGGGTATTTGGGGAGTACTGGGGAGCCCAGTGCAATGGGAACCGAGTGAGCAATAGGAAAGATGGTCAGGCTTAAAGTCAAAGATATAGTAGGGCCAGAATATGCATGGCTTGTCAGCCATGGTAAGGAATTTGGATTTTATCCCAAGTATTAATAGGGAGTCGTTGGCATGTTTTAGGCAGACAAATGATTGGAATTTTATTTTTAAGAGAGCATTCTACCTGCTGCATGAGGTGACAAGAGTGGAAGCAGGAAGACTGGGGGGGTTATATAGCTCTGTGGTCAAGGCAGGAGATGATGGCAGCAGGGTTGACAATGTTCATGGCAGAGGTGGTAAGAAGTGGCTGATACAGGATATATTTTGGAAGTAGAGCCAATAGGATTTGAGATGGGATGTGAGAGAGAGAAGCTTCAAGCATGACTCCTTGAGTTTCCACCTTAGCAAACTGAAAAATGGTGAAGTTATTTACTAAGAAAGGAAAGACTGAGGAAAGAACAAATTTTTGGTAATGTTTTGTTTTATTTTTTGGGGGGACAGGGAGCAAGAACTATTTTTTGGACATATAAATTTTGAGATGTCTCTAAGCCATTTGATATAGATATTGAATATGATTTGGGTATATGAACTTAATCTTGGGAAGAAATCAGGGCTGAAGATAGAAATTTGAGGGTCATAAGCATAATGAGAATACTTAAGCATATTAATATTTAATTTTAATATTTAAGAAAACATTGAAGTATATGAAGACAATATTTAAGTATTTAACTAATGAATTGAATGAGATCATGTATAAAGAAAAGGTGGATACTAAAAAGAAAAGAGTAGATGAGAGTCCTAGCCTATTCCGAGAAACTAGGTATCTGAAGATGTAAGAGTGGAGGGAGTAGTCAATGAGGTAGAAGGAAGTGGAGGAGTATGGTGTCCTGAAAGCCAAGTGAAGAGAGCCTTAGGAGGGGTTATCGGCTGCCAAGAGATCATGTAAGATGAGGGCCAAAAGACTGGCCATTGGGTTTGGCAAGATGAATGCCAATGACCTTGAGGAGAGTAGCCAGTGAAGTGGCAAGGACAAAGGCTCACTGGAGTAGGTGGAGGTGAGAAAGATGGTGAGGACCAGGAGGCAATCATGCAGCAATTCTTTGGAGAGACGTTGAAAGAGGAGGTAATAGCTGGAGGGGAATCTGGGGTCATGGGAAAATGTTTTTAAAGATGGGAGGTAATAAAGCATGTATAGATACCAATGGGAAGAATCTAATAGGTGAAATAAACAACTGGTAGAGAGAGGGGACAAGTGCAGGAATTTAGGTCTTGAGTAAGAGAGAAGGGATGGGGTCCAGTTGCAGGGCCTTGGGTAAGAGCAGGGGCAGGTCATTGCTCAGCTGCAGGGAAGGCGGGGCATTGGGCTAGGAGCAAGGCTGTCTGGTAGATTTGGTGGTGGGAGGATAAGGCATTGTCTCCTGGTTTTTGCCAAGATCTGTCGTTTTCTGATCATTAATTAAAAATGAGGAAGAGGTTTGAAGAGTGATGAAGCAATAAAATAGTTATCTTGAAGAGATGGGGGCAAATTTTCTAGGGCAGACCAAAGGGTCTGCTTGAGATTTGTAGTCTTCAACTTAAATTGAGACCATTCAGGAGAGATGAGGATTTTCTCCAGCTATGTTCAGCTGTCCTGCATGGAGGAGGTGGGGAACTAGGTTTACCAGGGCTAAAGTTTTGCTTGAAGGGTACAATGAGGGGCAAGGGGCAAGGGGCAAGGGAGTGCCAATAGTGACAGACCACAGAATCCAAACTGGATGAAAAGGGGAGAGAAGGGGGTGGTAGACACTGAGCATGTGGATTGGATGTTTTGATGAGGTCATCTGGAAAGTTAGAGGATGGTTGTTGGAAAGTAGAATGTGGGATATAAAGATCTTGGAGTTTATGGGTAATAATGACCAAGGTCTAGAATATGATTACAGCAGTGAATAGCTGAGGGTGCCCTGGAATGGAGAAGTGAGAGTGTTGGACTAAACATCATTCAAAAGATCAGGATTAAACATCATTCAAAAGGATTTCTAACTGGTGTTTTCTTGGAACAAGGTGATTTTTGAATAAATTACCTTATATTACAGGTCATGTCTTCATTATATAACATGTTACACATTTATTCCCATTTGCAACTAATGACTACAATTCCAGTCATTGGAGAGTTCATGCTTTAGGAGAACTTTAGATCAAACAGCCACCTCTGGGTAAAGCACTCTGACAGTGTGACTGCTATCCAAGCCGCTGGAGTCCTGTCACACTGGAGCTGTGCAGGGAGCCAAATGTGGGGATCTGTGATCTCTGATTTCTATTGTGATCTTTTACAGGTTTTAAGTTCTCTATTTAGTGAAAGGGGATTGAAGTCAGAATCTGGATTTTCTGCTGCCTTTGATACATTCTAAAAAGCTTTTCTTCACTGTTCTGATGGACAGAACCAAACCCTAAGAAAATGGTTCCCCATGACACCCTATTAAATACAACTAGATGGGTTTTAGTTCATCCATAAACATCTATGTAAAGGACACCATATTAGACCTTGGAAAAGAGAGTTAAAAGGATGTTTCAAAAGAAATTGAGTCAATGGTTTCAGTTTTCAAGGTATTAAAAACCCCACGTATGACTAAAGTAAAGATCAGAGACATCATTTGGCATAAATTCAGCTCTGGCGGAGGCCCCATCCAACCAACATACCTTCTCTCACACAAAGACCTTCGCCTCCAGTCCACCCACTTGCCTCATCCAATGCTCCATTATCCACATGCCCCATCTAACCCTCCATTCACCTGTCCCAGCCAACGTGTGGGCCTCCTCTCTTATAAGGACCTTCACCTCCACTCGATCCACCTCACCAACCTTCTCTAAAACACCCACCTCTTCCACTACCCCTACAGAACTCTCAAACTGTAACAAGACCTACAGACCCTTTTACTTAACTTCCTGTTTCTCTCATTCTACTGCCCTTTTAATTCCTTTTCTACCTAGGTTGGTCTTCCCATATTGATGCCACTCTCAATTCCCTTGCCCCTTGTTCTGAGCACACCCCCTACCCCTGCTGTGACAAAAATGTCTCTCTCTGCCTCTGATTGTGGGCTGCCAGGGGCCACTTAAGGAAATCTTACAACTGTGAAGTTACGGATTCCTGTCTTGGCTGGGCCATCAGCATTCTCAACTACCTTTTCTTTTGTCCACCACCAATTTCTGGTTCTATTCCTCACAGTGAACACATCTCCTCAAGATGCTCTGCAACCCAAATTCTTCAATATTTCTGGAAAAACCCAGAGTCCTGCATACATCCTAGAGCCATTCAGTAAGCCATCTCCAACTTCTGCTCTCCACCTTGCTTCTCTCACATGTAGCTGTATCTGTTTTCACCTTCATTGACTCTAGAAGAAGCTGGCTCCTATCTCTTAAATTATGCTCAGTCCTGCCCTTCTTGTCTCCTTCTGGAATGGAATTCCCTCTTAGGTGGGTCATCACTTTATACTTTTCCAGGAGTTCCTATCTTTATAGGTCTGCTCGTGCCTCCATCTCCTTTAAAAAAAAAAAGGAACTCTGGGTGTGCCCTGGGTTTGCTCCTCTAATGAACACTCTGTATTTTTCCCCTTTCTTTCAAACATTTCAGAAGCCTAGAATCACTTGATTCTACTTTTAGACCGACAACTCATCACACACTTATCTCTCACAGTACCAACCCTTGTCTTTGGCTTCAGCACCTGCCATTCTCCAGAGATTGTTCTCAAAGTCCCTTGGCACATGGCTCAAACTCTATGACTTTTTATGACTTTCCAAGACTCCCCTGTAGCCATCCCACAACTTACATTAATGGTTTCATTCTTAACATCCTTATAGTATTAGGTTGAGGCATATGAAATGGCTATTATGAAGTTCCCAAATGGTTGAATATTGGCAATTTCATATGGCTTAACCTGATTCTTTTTACACATCTATTTGTCACCAATCTCATTTTATTGCAAACACTTGAAGGTGTGATTATCTCTTTCATCAGACTCTTAGTGCAGCTCAAGGGATTTTGCTTTATTTATCTTCACTTTGCGAGGCTCCAACCCAGTGCCTACACCATTAAAGGCACTTGCTGAACACCTGCTGGATGAACCTCCTTTCAGGAGGAGTGGTGCAGGAACGGTGCTCAGACATGCCTGGCAAAGGCACCCATAGGAATGAAGTCGTGTTGACCTGGCTGCAGGATGCTGAGGAGGAGTGGGAGGAGGAAGGATCCAAGCCTTCCTTCTGGGGAGTCCCGGTTTGTACCTGTGCTGTTTCGGACGTGTGCGGGTGATGCTGCTTCTGAGACGCAAAGCCGTGGGCATCTGCCCTGCTTCTGGAAAGCAGCACACTCCCACGTAGAATCTTTGCAGGTTTCACTTCAGAGGTTAACAGAACGGATTCTGAGGTTATCTTGCCCAGGGCCTCACTGCTCTGTCCTCTCTGTCCTATGGCAATTTGACTCGAAGTATTGTCCTGGGCTACACAGAGAGAGTGGGTTTATATTAAAAGTCACCTTAGGATAACAAGGATGTAACAGTGGGGATGGCATGCTGAAACCCAGTGTGATTCTCTTGGCTGAGCCCATCGAGGACTGGTTGATGATGGCTCTGTGGAGGGCCTGGCCTGGAGTCCAGGGCTTTTCACTGCTCAGATCCCACAGTAATCTGCTCACTTTCTCTTCAGGTCCAGAGGGTAATCATTTCTGAAACTGTGCGTATACTACAGCCCTGCCCTGGAAGCCTAACACTTGACCTTTTGTGGTTCTAGGCAGTGGTGATGCCACTGAGTAGCTTGGGTAGAGCATTTATTCTCTGCTTCCATGGCAGAGCTGACCAAATGAACAAATAGGCTACATAAGAACAGTGTGCCTGGTGGCAAATATGCTTTTAACATTAATTTCTTTTTGTTGTTGTTGTTAATCCTCACCTGAGGATATTTCTTCCACTGATTTTTTTAGAGAGAGTGGAAGGGAGGTGGAGAGACAGAGAGAAACATCGATGTGAGAGAGACACTTCGATTGGTTGCCTCCCAATGTGCTCCGACCAGGGCCAGGGTCGAGCCTGCAACTGAGGTTCGTGCCCTTGACTGGAATCGAATCCACGGCCCTTCAGTCTGTGGGCCGATGCTCTAACCACTGGGAGAGAAGCTCAGTGAGGGAAATAGAGAAGTGTGGGTGCTGGCCACTTGACCACAAAAAGCCAGGGGAGATGGCCCTTACCAGACTCCTCGCCTTCCCTTATGGACTGCTCTATGGCAGCCCTGATGCAGAGCTCACGGGCCCGGACCCCTGGGACATTGTTGCCGTCGGAGATGGCTTCCATCACGATGGAGTCGATGTTCAAGCAGGCTGCATTGTAGTACTTGGCGATGCTGGCTGCCGTGGCTGACTTTCCTACAGAAAAGGTTAGGGGGCTGAATTTCATGGCTTTCATTTGCTCAGTGTCCTAGACAGAAGCTTCTAGAACAGAGGCCCCTGTAAATTGGTCTCTCCAAGTGCTCTGCCTCTAAGTCAATCATGTGGTCAGGGGTGGCAGCAGAAAAGAGAAGGAAGACCCAAGGCACAAGTCAGGATTGTGGATTCTGCTCCTAATTCTATCACCCATGGACTCTGTACTATGGCAACCCACACCCTTTCTGGATTTTCTCCTCAGTTAAAAAGTGATTCTTTCAGATGATCTTCAAAAATCCTGTAGCTCTTACTGTCTCTAATTCTACTAGGAAGGCTTTTTTTGGTTTAAATAATAACTTGTGGTTTTTTTTTCTTTTTCTTATTTCAAAATACCTGCTTATTAAAAAGAAAGCAGAAAATTCAGAAATAAAAGACAGGAGAAAAGAGAAAAAGATCCATAATTTGCTCATCCAGGGAGATTATAGTTTGCATATAGTTACTAAGTATGCATCTGTAATTATTTTATTTACATTTCTTATAAAAAAGAAATGAGTTGTGTGATGTCTACATCCTAATCCCAGGAATTTGTAAATATGTTATCTTATACAGTAAAGGGACTTTGCAGGTGTGATTAAGTTAAGGATCTTGCTATGGGAAGATTCCCCTGAATTATCTGGGTGAATTATCCAATGTAATAATCACAAGGTCCTTACAAGAGAGAAGCAGGAGGGTCAGAGTCAGAGCACGTGATATGATGATGACAGCAAGGAGAAAAAGACTAGAAGATGCAATGTTGGCTTTGAAGATGGAAGAAGGGATTGTGAGTCAAGGAATGAAGGCAAAGTTTCTAGAAGCTAGAAAAGGTAAAGGAAATGGATTCTCCCTTATAGCCTCCAGGAGGAATGCAGCCCAGTTGACCCATTTTAGACTTCTGACCTCAGGAACTGTAAGAAAGCAAATTTGCATTGTTTTAAGCCACTAAGTTTGTGTTTATTTGTTACAGTAGCAATAGGAAATGAATACAGATTCCAAATCATAAACATGTCATCTTTTTCACACTTAAAGCAATATACAGGGTGTCCCCCCAAAATGTATGCACATGTTGTCTGTAGATTCTGCTACATTTTGAAAATGAAGTGTATTTTAATAAACACTGCCTTTATAATTATTCAATGTGCGTGTATACATTTTTTGGGATACCCTGTATTACGAATATCTTTCTATTCATTCAATACACTTCTGTGGCATGGTTTGTTTTTAAAATTGTGGTATATACATATAAAATGTACCATTTTAACCATTTTTGAATGTAAGGTTCAGTCACAGAAGTATATTCACATTGTTGTGCAACTATTACCAGCATTTTCTCACCTTCACAAATGGAAACTCTGTATCCATTAAACAATAAGCCCCCATTCCTCAGTCCCCCAGCCCCAGGAAAGCACCACTCTACCTTTAGTTTCTATGAGTTTGACTACTCTAGGTAGCTCATATAACTGGAAGTGATACAGTTATTGCCTTTTGTGTATGGCTTATTTCACTTAGCACAATGTCTTCAAGGTTCATTCATGTTGCAGCATGTATCAGCATTTTCTTACGTTTTAAGGCTGAATACTATCTCACTGTACCACATTTTGTTTATCTATTTATCTGTCAATGGACAGTTGGGCTGTTTCTACCCTTTGGCTGTTGTTGATAATGCTGTTATGAACATGGGTGTCCGAGACACTGTTTTTAATGGTGATATTAACTCACCGTATAAATGTGCTATGGCTTAATTAACCAGTTTCCCATACTGAAAGCTTGAGGTGCTCTCAGTTTCTTATTATGGTTAATAATGCTGTAGGGAAACTCCATATTGTTAGTCTTTGTCCATGTCATTAATTAGTTTCCTAAGATACAATTTTGGAAACAATATTGCCAGATCAAAGGGTTTGCTCATATTCCCGCCCCCCATTTTTAAATAATAGAATTGAAAGAATACAAGCTGAAATAATTCAGATGTATTAATTAAAAATGAGGTGTCACTGCTCTTTTTCTAGTTCTCTATGTCTGAGGTTGGCAATTCAACAGTTTTGGGATAATCCTTTCATAAATAAATAAATAAATAAATAAATAAAGTCTTATGTCTTAAAAAATTACACATGTAAGCTTCACCATAATCCCAGAAGGGGCCACCCCTCAGAGTTGTGGCCTACCTGAAAAGGGTGTCCCGTGGATGATGATGGCGATGCCTTTCCGGTTCTTGGCCATGTGACCTTCTGGAGAAATGTCAATGCCTAGGTATCGAGCAATCGCCTTGCTCACTGGGTTGTTCTCTACTTCTCCAACATCTTCTGCAGAGTGGCTGTCAGTGCTCTGTAACTTGTCAGCTGCAAGTTAAAAATACATGTGTGTGTGTGTACATGTGTGTGCATGTGGACACACTCAGAGTCCACATGGGTTCTAATGAAAATGGGAATGAGTTTTTCTTTTTAAACATTGCTTGGAAATGAGATCATAATCACTGCAGCCCTCATTTCCTCCTGTATTGTACAAGAGTACCCTTTTTTGCCCATAGCTACGAGGATTGCAAATACAGATATTCTTTGGCTCTTAATCCCATTTTTGGGAATCTTTTCTGCTGAAAAATAATGTTGGAAATTAGCTGACTTTGCAAACATTAAGGGAAATGGCCAAATAAACGATGGCATATTTATGTTACAGAATTAATACATAGTCATGCCAAGAGGTTTGGAAGATGCATTTCATGAAGAAAGGTGAAAAGACATTAAACATTCTTCCCACTTCTGCTTAGGGAAAAATGGGCCCAAAACATTAAAATGCTTGGTCTGCCTTGGCCAGTGTGGCTCAGTTGGCTGGAGTGTTGTCCGTCGCACCGGAAACTGGAGAGTTCTATTCCGGTCAGGGCACATACCTAGGTTGTGGATTCGATCCTCAGTCGGGGCGTATAAGGAAGGCAACTGATTGATGTTTCTCTCTAACATTGATGTTTCTCTTTTTCTCTCCCTTCCTCCCTCCCTCAAATAGATTAATTAAAATAAATAAATAAATAAATGAATAAATAAATGAATAAATAATAAAATGCTCACTTACTTTGAAACACTATTTTTTCCAGGCTGTCATCATCCTCCTCTTCATCTGGGTTTGTCTTGGACTCGTCCCAATCCCCCAAGTCAGATGTGACAGAGATCCCTTGGCTAAGCGAGGCCCTCTTCGCACCGGAGGTTCCCAGCTCTGACAAGGGTATATCATCATCTTCTACCAGAGAGCAAGGATAAAAACACATGGGGAGATTTGGGAGGGCAGAAAAGGAAAGAGAGACAAAGAGGAGAATTGCTGAGCTGGTTAGCTGACCCTGGACTATTCAACTCAAGTAAACAAGAGCTGCACTGAGTTTCTCTGCTCAGAGTGTTTCTACATTTTAACATACCCCCC